ATTAGTATTAAGTCAATATACCTGGCTTCTAGGTGGTTTCTCGACTTACAACAGCCCAAGCCCTCATCATCCACGCGCGATGAAGGTCAATCCTAAGCCTCTTCACATAATAGAGGGCAAACGCCAAAGACACAAGAAACATGGACGTTGCCGCGCCCGAAACCGTCTGAGGAACTAGCCCGCCCCCAAAATGATGTCGTGAGATCACGAGAACGCCGAGGGAGCTGAGAACCACAAGCACCAGGACAACATAGCCGATGAACCTATGGAGCGAGATGGATCGCTTGCGTATAGCAGGCGTAAACTGCAGAACAGCCAGCGAGCCCGCGGGGAAGATTGTTGCCAGGTGAAGGAACAGACCGATCCTGCCGACACCCCGGGAGAAGTAGTAGCATTCGCCGGGCATGGCGACGCGTGGCTTCCCGCAGAAGTAGCCATCGATATCGAGGTATCGGAGATGAGTTATGATGAAGGCTGTGAAAGGACCACAAAGGGCTAGCCAGATGGCGAAGTTGTGAGCCCGAGAGAAGCCAAAGGCGCGAGAGACATGTTGAAATAGAGATGTTAGGCCGCTGATGGCTTCGTCAATATGCGTAGCCATATCGCAAGCTAAGAAGCAAGCCAAAGCCAACGATCTGAACTGAAGAATATATGGTTCAGGTTCTCTCGATGATAGGGTGTTGGCTAGGCTGTTTCTTTATTCATGAATGGGTAGAAAAGGGGGAAGAAGATGGAATAGGATGGGGAAAAGAACAAAAAGAAAATAAGAAAGTCCCAGCTGCGAGTAAGGGAGCAAGTTATATACGATGAGCCTCTTCAGTGAAGAATCCCATGACATACAAGTGAATGGGCAGTTCCCCATTCACAAACAAAGAGATCATGTCAAAGTCCCAGACACCGTGCAAGCCACTCGGTTACTTACTCTCAGCAACGCGAAATGATTCAGTGAAGCGGCCCTGTGGACGAAGAAAAGCCGTTTACCAGTACACACGAGATCAGGCGAAGTGAGCAGAGTGGCAATCTCGAGAAATATATAAGCTATTTGATGTCATGCTCGGATCCCACGTCGAATCAGAGACATATCGCCGCAGGCACAACATGCGCGCACCAAGTTACAGGGAAGCCTGGAGCAGCCTGAGAGGGGTGGGAAGAAGAAGATCATGCCACATCGTTACCGCCATGCTGCCGTTGGGCGTCCATAGCCGTCCACAAGAACGACGACCAATAGTTGAGATTCTGGAAGTGAGGATAATCCCATCAAGAGAGCCCGCCAGTGAATTATTCGCTTCCGTCGTTGCACCGCCATTCGTGAATAGGGTCGGGGATGGGCGTCGTAGCCGAAGAGAAACAACGGCACTGAGACACTTTCACGGCATTGCTTCCATGAGTGACAACCCTCCGATGCAGTATTCACCCTGTTTGGACGTGTCAGCCCACTCCGTCGATTCCTTTGGGGAAAATATACCAACACGAGCTCAAACCCAAGGCTCCCTCAACTCGGGATCAGAGGACAAAAGATGCGGTATGCAACCACCGCCCTGCTTGTGCGACAAGAGTTGCTTTTTCTCCTCCCTGATCACCCAAGTATGCCTTATGGTAATTAAAGCAAGTGCTACGTTACGCGAGAAATGCCCCGAGGCCATTGGCTGTGAGGTAGGGCTATTCCTTGTGTTGTCCATGCCAAGACAACTCATACGATGATTAAATACGGTGAGGGAGCTCGGCAGCGGGTCTCGACGATCAGTCTACTTCTCATCTCCTGGTCTTTTCCGGCTGACAAAAATTGAGACGAAAGAGTGTGAACCAGCCAATATCAATATAGGCAAGGCTGGATTGGATGGAGCCAAAAGATTGACTGGGCGCACTGGTGAAGTCATTAATTGAGCGCCATGTCTCTCGCATTTGGAAAGAGAGAATCATGACGATATTATTCAATAGGATTCGCTAAGATAGAATGACCAAAATAAACAAGCTCTCTATTAAGGAAATGCACCATCAAATCGTGTGAAATTCCAACCCAGCAGCACGGACAACGCCAGATTGATGAGACGAAATCTAAACAGACACTGGCGCATGAATTCCGTGGAAGCCCAGGCCTATGGGAAACTCCAATTCTGCCCTACCAACCTCCTCCATGGTCTTGGCGTCGAGACACACCAAGTAGCTCACCTGTGCGGTCCCGTCGAGGACGACACTCAGCAAGACACCGTCGTCCTCGTCAGTGGCGCTGGGATGAGGCACAAAGATAGCCTCACCGGGCGTGTGAGACTGTGGCGGCGCCCATATGGTAGCCGCACGGCTGCTGACATCCGTCTTGACCAGGCAGTCCATCATGGTGCTCAACCCGCGCGATGAGACACTGTAGACGAACCGGTAGGGTTTTGTTGCATAGAGTGCGTTGATCGTCGGCAACTCTCCAACATGCGGTGCTGGTATTGCGAACACTTCTTCTGCTGATGGTAGGGAAGAGAGACCCTGAGCGCTGCTCCCAGAAGACGAAGGGGAAGCGGGAATCCGGAAACGTTGACGCCTAAGATAGGGTACTAGGTCACTCCCTTCAGGCCCCTCTACCCAGTACTTTCGAGCAGCTTCTTCCCGATCCAGGATGACATCCAGGTAAAACCCCTGAATAATAGCAGTTGATTCGTATCCGACATAGTCAAAGGTAAGGTCCACCCACTCAGCTTGAGACTCTTGATCCTCCACGACCGTCTCCTCAAAAGCATTGACCGAGTGGAAAAAGAATCCCGCTGGCGTTGTGAAGCGAGCCACCACACCGTTTCCGTAGCGCCTGTCAACAACTACCCATTGGGTGAGTTTGGACTTATCAAAGGGCGCCATACCATCGACCAGATTTCTCACAAATGGGATCTTCATCCCGGACAAGGAGAAATGAGAGGATGGCACACACAAAACGACATAGTTCTTGGTCAAGAACATGCTATGTATATATGCAGGCGAAAGATCTGCTACTGTGAGGGTAGCGAGAATGTCCACATTCCCAGTTGAGGCATTGGTGCGGTAGATACGATATGTCGGACGGGATCCAAACTCGAGGTTGTAGTTGAACATGTCACCCGATTCAGGATCTCGCTGTGGGTGTGCGCATGCGAGAGGACCCCTGAGGCTCGGATGCAGCTTGGAAGTCGCAATAAACTCCAGAGGCTCCAAGGTATCCGGATCGACCTTGTGAAGAAGGCTATTGTCGGTTAAGACAAACAAATCCCCTGTTCCGGTACGATGGCCAGCTTGGGCTGCTCTGGACGTTTCGGACCAAGGGCCAGGCAAGTTACGCTCGATTACAACTGCATTGTTGGCTTGTATGGGGTGAAAGAGGCTCATGAACTTGGAAAATATGCCGACGCAAGGATCTGCTCTCTGGCCGAACGAGATGCCAGATCTCCAGCCTCTGCGTTTGATATCGTCAACGAATGTTTCTGCCTGAAGACGTGAGGAATAGCGGACGGTCGTAGTATTCCCATCACCGGGGACACTCGATGGGATGATGTCGAACTTGTGCATGTGTGCAAAACCGTCGAACCAGTGGGCGACACGGTGAGTGCTGCCATTGTCAGTGTCAACGGCGTTCTGGCCCGGACCAGTGCGGTAGAGCGATCCAGCTGCCCATGGTGGGATCTGGCCTACGATCTTAAGATCTATCGGCCCACGGTGCTCCTCGAGTCCCTCGAACTAGATTGATCCAAGGATGTCAATGGTCCATGTTTGGTGAAACGGGGGCAGGACTTGTCACTCACTCCAGCCTCGTTTGGCCAGTCCTTCCACGACTCAGCGTGGAAGTTCTCCGTCGTAGCCTTTGCGTCTTGCTCTTCATCGCTGGCCAACCGGTGAAAAGTGCCTGAGCTGGATAATGAGGGTAGTGTTGTGGGCGCAGCCATCTTGAAGCTAGCAGTCAACGTCGCCTTTCGTGGGGTGAGACTTTTCGATAGAGAACAGTGAAAAGACGCAGCGGCAATTTCGGTCTGGTCTGTGGACCATAATCGCGGCGTCGTTGCACAACATGATGACTATTCCCCAGTTCATGTAACTTATCAGTGTAAGTGAGAGGATGAATGAGTGAATGATTCATCACTCTGTGACAGAAGTGCACTAGCCAATTTCGATGAGTGCCACTCCCGCCAAGGGCCAGATTATGCGAAGAAAAAAGAGAAGCATAGGCGAGTACCTGGCTAGAAAGTCTTAGGCCATTTTAAGACTTGAGATACACTGAAAATGGGGTTTCCCGTTGATTGCTATGTGAGCACCGTTGCTGTTCGTGCCAATCTCTGCTCACGCTTCCCTCACCACTTTCGGCGGCCTACCCTACACACGACAGTCCGGCCAGCGACTCTCTTCTACGCGCTCACTGCCTTATTGAATAGCCAGTGTTCTGACTAGAAATCAATTGATACATTTCTAAGATTAATTTATCACTTAGTGTTATACTGATGCGATGTAGTTTGAGGACATTCGGTTATAATGCATTGATTTCCTCATTAGCCATTGCTGTGCTCATTTGGGGTCTCTTGTATGAGAGACTCTTCTGATGCTACGACAGATACATAATTGATTAGTGGTCACTGTAGAATGTTTGCAATTGCGTTTTGTTATACATGTATCGCTGGCATCATTCCCGGGCCGTCTTCAGTCTTGGTAGTCTTCTCCCGTGGATCGGATATGGATAGCCGCCTCTCGCTCGTCGTTTCCCCTGAGATCTTGATCCAAACAATCAACTTCCGCCAATTACTATTGCGGGGTACATCACAGGATACAGTGTGGCATTGGAAATAGATTGTTGGTTTTAGCTTGAAAGGCAGTCTCGCAGTTATCATAGCTCCGTGGTGGTCTAGTTAGATTAGGGCAATACACCTCGAGGTCAGCACACCTGGCAACTGGGGTATATCAACCCGATTCGATGATCGAATCGAAGTCGAGGGGAGACGGTGTTTTATTCTTGCTTCTAAACATTGAACATCGTAGTCCATTCACATACTGCATCCATCATGGGGGTTATTGAGTTGCTCCTGTCCAATGTCAAAGTCGTTGCATTGGGCGTGACTTTTCTGGTATGAATCGAACCTCCTTGCTCTTCATTCCCTTCAGTTGGACCTCTGGCCTCATTAATCCTGCCTTGCCTGATTTCTAGTCGTTCGCGTACGTCCTCGGAGTTGTCATATACAACCTATACTTCCATCCACTTGCTAAGTATCCCGGTCCATTCCTCGCCAAGATCTCTCCAGTAAGCCTGAAGCCATTCCCCTCTCCACCTACCTGTTCATTAGTCAATGATATAGAAGCTTATTTCTTCACTCGTTGGTAGATTTATAGTATTTGGGGTCTCTTCCGTGGTAGATGGCCTTTTGACGTCCACCAACTCCATTTGAAATATGGCCCTATCCTCCGGACCATGCCGAATGAACTCACATTCACAGATCCCCAAGCATGGAAAGACATATATGGCCATCGCCAAGGTCATCCTCAATTTCACAAGGACCGTAAGTTAACCACTGACTATACGATAGATCAATACACCTTGCTTCACTAGACAGTGCTAACAGACTTTACAGCCATCCAGTAAGAAATGATCCTTCAGATCATACCAGTGACATGAGTTGCGACTGCTAACATTATTCAGCGTTGGGTCCGTCCAGGACATCCCCGGCTCGACCACCTTGACCATGGCTGATGATGCCAATCACTCCCGTCAGCGACGCACCCTATCTCATGCATTCAGCCAGAAAGCTCTGCTCGAGCAGGAGAGTATCATCAGAGGCTACGTCGACCTCCTCATCCAAAAGCTCCGGCCTTTTGCGCAGACTGGCCAACCTCTCAACATGTGCGACTGGTTTAGTATGTTTATCTCCTCTTATGTTGAACGTGTCAACCTGAAAGCTGACAGCTTTGTTAAGACTTCACTACGTTTGACATCATTGGTGACATGGCCTTTGGAGAACCCTTTGGCTGCCTCAAGGATGGAGTTTTCCACTCCTGGGTGTCTCTCATCACGCAGACAATCAAGGCAGGCGCCTATGAGCAAGCTACTCGTCGCATGTTCAAGTCAGGGGGGTTCATGCAGAAGTTCCTGTGCAAGTTCATCCCGAGCGACCTGCGGGAGAAGCGATATCGTCATCTCGAGCTGAGTCGCGAGAAGTGTCTTAAGTGAGTTGGTACTATTGGAGATCACTTATAGTATATATTTGCCCCTGTTCTAACACACGTTTTCAACATGTAGGCGAATCGATGAAGGCCTTCGCCGAGAGCATCGTGACTTCTTGTACTACATTCTCCGGCAGAACGAAAAAGGAGGCGTGTCTCAAGATGAAATCATCCTCAACTCTGCTCTGTTCATCGTTGCCGGCTCCGAAACAACCGCATCTCTACTCTCCGGCCTTCTCATGTGGCTTCTGCGAACTCCCAGTGCCTACAAGCGGCTGGCCGATGAGATCCGAACTGCCTTCCCCACTGCCTCCGACATGCATTTCACAGACCTCCAGAACCTCCCCTTCATGAATGCATGTATCGACGAGGGACTCCGCATCTTCCCATCGGTACCGACAGGTCTAACGAGAACTGTTCCCGCAGGCGGGGACACGGTTGCCGGTGAATACCTCCCTGGCGGCATCACTGTTTCGTGCCACAGCTGGGCAGCAACACATTCGCCCCACAACTTCTACCGACCGGACGAGTTTATTCCTGAGCGCTGGCTTGAGCCGGATGGCGTGGCCTACGCAGGCGAGAACAAGGACGCGAGCCAGCCCTTCTCTCTCGGCCCACGTGGTTGCATTGGCAAGCACCTGAGCTACCTGGAGCTCAGGCTCATCCTTGGCAGCCTGTTCCTGCATTATGACATCGCAAGGGCCGACCTTGATGACCCAAGCACTGAGGATATTTGGGACCCTTCTGGGGATTTGCGGCATGTCAAAGCCTTCAATACCTGGAACAAGCCCCCCTTGATGTGTAGATTGAGACCCGCAAGGCGATAAATATTGTGGCCCGGGGATGGGGCTGTCTTCATGATAATGGCATCGAACATCCAAGCCGAGTAGCGGATAGATAGATAGGCCAATAAGGCAACCTTCTAGGGGTTGAATGACATATCGTTGTAGATCTTGTATATCCCTTGGAGAAGTGATTATCTCTTGTTCGGAAACACCTTGGGATCAGCCAGGAACTCTTCAACCGTCCTCTTCCGAAGCACGTTAGTAGGGATGCTCTCCTTCTGCAGCTCGCGCCTAGGCCCTTCACTCGATTCAGAGAGGCGCTCCACGCGACCGGCCACACGCAGAAGCAACATCCGGGTCCGCTCCAGCTCCTTCTCGAGGGCGCCGTTACGGGTCGCCAGATTCTCCTGCACGCCAGCACCACCGTCCTGCGTCTGCAGTGGCGCAATCATGGCCTTGAGGCGGCGAAGACGCTCAACGCGCAGCTTCACCTCTTTGCGCTGCGCATTGAGGTCCGTTAGGCTTCGTACTCCGTCACTGTAGCGCTTGGCCTCTGCTGGTTGTTTCTTGGCTTCCTTCTCAGAGCTCCATGTCGCAGGGAGAGACTCAATCACCTCCGGATCGGCTATTACAGTTATTTCCCCTCGTTAGCAGGCCCGTTTAATCATCTCGGGTAACGAAAACACGAACAGAGATCCAGCTCTTTCCCGACTCCATCTTCATCATCCTGTTCCCGTTGCAGCTTCCGCTCCGCCTCCTTTGTATAACTGTCGTTGATCTGCTCGGACACCGCGCGGGTGGCCTGCGGCACGAAGATGCGGCGGCAGTGCTCCTGGACCGTGCTGTCTACATATGCGACGGCTGCTTCGAGGAGTCGCGGCTCCAATGGCTTGTCGGCGCGGTTGTTCGCCGTGCGGAAGGCTGGCGAGACGTCTACGGGGCTGCTGAGCAGGTGGATTTGGCGGGAGATGAAGCGCTCTTTCAATTGCGTGATGGTAGGCGGGGGCGGCGCTGTAGACATGGCGCTGGGAGTCGCTTCGTGCCAGGCACAGGTTTGAGTTGGGTATTGGGAGGACGCGTCGTGTCGTCGTATGATGGTGTTTGAAACTGCTCTAAACCGTGAATTTGTTTTGTTGGTCTACTGAATTTGGGGCACCTACGTCAGAGATAAGATAAGCGAGAGCACCTTGCCGTGGCGCCAGACTCTCATGCCTTTGTACACTGGGCTCTGGTGGAACTACATAAATAGGAGTGAGCGAATGGATGAATATCTAGCGACTACTGAATTATTCTTTTACTAAGAGATACCTCGCGTTTGTCCTAGAAGAGCACCGTTCCGCTGATATGGGTACATGAGCTGGTACTGCTAGACCATGACTTCCCGAGTGGGTGACTTAGAATATGGCACACCAAAGCTCTTTTCGCGTAAGATAGAGACCTCCTTTTTTTCATTAAATACAATAATGAAAGAATAATAATTTATTCTGCAATATTTAGTTAAATATTATATGTATTACTGAGTTAATTGTTTTGATATTGTGTCAACATTAACGTTGGAGTGTCGAGGTATGCCATGCTTTATATCAGTCACTTGCTTCCTTCTGCCATGGGTTTGGATCCATGTCTTAGAACGCTGCATTAAATTGGTACACAGCCAATGATCATCTACCTTTACTAAGTGAATTGAAAGGACATACATACGCATAAGGACGTGGAAATACATAACCCACAGATCCGCGGTGTCTTGTTGATCCGGTGGGGCTGAGATAACGGTGAAGACGACAGGGAACCATCGTTTCCGCGGAGTTTCCAGATCTCGCCCCTCACTATCAAATGGCCAACGAGCTCTCTAGGCATATACTGATACTGTCCCACGCTCGCTGGCTGTACCATTGAACTTACGTGATATTGTCTGGTCATGCGCCTAAAGCGCTTCTGGCACATTGCTGGGTCCAATAATAAAGGAGGAGGAGGAGGGTGTTTGGCGGCGAATTGATCAGTTGATATGACGTTATGCGTTGTACTACTAGACGACTTAGGTACGTAGACATTCACTCATTGCTTGGATCTCGTCATGGGTGGAAGAGATGAAATTGATCGATGGAAAGTCAGGTTGAAGAACCGTGCCATCAAAACTAAAGACAATGAACAAGACCGGTTATAGATATAAAACTCCTCTTTCCTCAACATGCCACGCCAAACTGCCATGTACAAAAGTCTGGGACAGCGAGTCCCATCTTTGGTTGGTATATAATTCACACGACACAAGAAACGCAGTCTTCCACAGGCGCTGTCTGCAGTTGCGCCTTCACCCTCTTAGGATCCCGTAAATAAACCCAGGTACATAGATAAACACTCCGTAAGTATCGCCAAGTTGGACCCTGTTCCTTGCGTATGTTGAAGGAGCACTGTGGTCCAGGATTTGGTTGCGATTGTTGTTTTTCGTTATTCCTTTTGGTCCTACTTTGCGACCGTAACTTTTTTCTTTTTTTGTTCGTTTGTTTCTTTTTTTTTGTGTTCCTGAGAGCTTAAGCGGCAGCAGCCTCGGGCATGGCATCGGCAACGGGGATCTTCATCTCAGTGCCGCCCAGGTTGGTCGACCGGGCCTTGGGGTTCTTGGTGTAGTAGTCAGAGATGGCAGACTTGATGGCGTCCTCCGCAAGCATGGAGCAGTGCACTATATCATAGAAATGTTAGCGCCGGATCAATAGCCGAATGGCTCGGGCCAAGCCCATGTGAGGGGAAATACGTACGCTTGACAGGTGGCAGGCAGAGCTCCTTGGCAATCTCAGTGTTCTTGACCTTGCTGGCGTCGTCCAGGCTCATGCCCCGGACAAGCTCCGTCAGGTAACTGCTGCTGGCGATGGCGGAACCGCATCCGAAGGTCTTGAACTTGACGTCGGAAATCTTGTTGGTCTCGGGGTCAACCCGAATCTGCAGCTTCATCACATCGCCGCAGGCTGGGGCGCCGACAAGTCCAGTGCCGACATCGAGATCCTTCTTGTTCATGGAGCCGACATTACGGGGGCGCGAGTAGTGGTCCAGGACCTTCTCGTGATAGAGGCGCTTAGCCGAGGGAGCCGGGGCGATGGCGAGCTGGCGAGGGGCGATAATGGTTGGGCGGACGGCCTGAGCGAGGGGCGCAGCCCGTCGAGAGACTGCCCGAAGACCTCTGGAAAGCATTGTGTGTGGAAAAGGTTGGAATATATGAATGTGGGAGGATCGGTGTCAGCGCGCTGCTTTGGCCACAGATATGTACCAAAGGGATAGCGATCTTTGCTTCTGACGAGTCGGATGGATAGTTAAAAGTCACCAGGGCCAGGCGATAATGGTCTTGATGATGCAGGAATTGTCGAGTCTGGGGTTTCGATTGGTGTTGTAGGTGGCTGTGGATGGAAAGGAGGAGGATGTAGAATTGGAATGAGGAGAACCCATGGACGGATCAAAAGTAAATGCTTGGGAAAAGATGCGGGACTTGGCGATGGCGACTGTGGAGTAGCTCCAAACGTTATCGGCCAATGATGATGCAACTTTTCAGTCATTACGTGAGTGAGAAGCTCGGCTGCTCGGAGACACGGCTGATTAAGCAGCCATTTGCGCCGATCATTGGATCTGATAAGATTGCCAGGGCGTTTTTCATATCACCGAGGCCGGACTTTTCAGGCTTGGGGAATTCGCATGCCGCATATTTCTTCAAATGAGGCTTTCATGCAGCCTCACATTTGATATGAATGTTTAAATACCGTCGCAGTATTTTTCCTATCCTGTATTACTGGGTTGCTGAATACTCCTAGTGCAGTGCGTGGTTCAGAAAATAAACTGTGTGAATTATTCCTAAATTTTTTAAAAAAACAATTGCGACCGTAAAAATTATGGGAACGTGCTAGACTAGAGTTCCTTTGGCCTAATGCGGGTGAGACTGGCCAACTGGGGATTGCGCACAAGGAACAGCGAGAATGACCGAACATCTCCGACCCTCGGAGTTGCGATTGCGGAGGAACGGGCCAATCAGCAAGCAATGATCGGTCATGTTGCGCCCCGAAGTTCAAGAACCTTGTAGCTTAGCCTCGTGAAATAGCTTGGAAGTTGGCGAAAGTCTGGGACCGGTGAGAAGTACTTCGGACTCATCTGGGAAATCGGCAAATTCAATATGCCGTACGCGCACGTCTAGGAGACGGACATAACAGACTTTTCTTAGACGGTGATAGCGCGGTTATGTATTTCTCAAATGCCCGTCTATACGCAGGGGGGCAAGATGCGCGGGGAAGCTGGACCGTCGCCTCGAGCAGCTCTGCTCCCACCGCAAAGAGTTGCATCAGACGGCAGAGCATCGGCAAATCGCCACCTGCGTTCATGACGTTGGGATGACCAGCGGGCAGTCGAGTGGGCGATAGGCTATTTCGCCAATCGGCACTAGCCACACTTGCACAAGCCTCCACTAGCCACATGCTGCAGCCCCGCCCCCGCCGTCTGCGTCAGACGTGCACACTTACCAGAGCTGTGGCTGCCTGCGTACGAGTACGTGCCTAAACACCAACAGCATTGAGGTGAGCACTGGAAGCTCCTCGAACAACAACATAAGCACTTTTGGCTGCCTGGGTGCAATCCTGAAATCTTCAGCAAACCCACCAGCTTCCCCTCTCCACGCTCGTCACCTTTTCACTTCTAGCCTATGCAACACCTTTGTTCCAATCCTTTGCAAAGCTGTTCGTTGTTGCACGCTTGATCGAGCGCCCACCATGAGCTGCCCTCATCTCGACTCGATTTGTAGGTCACCACCCACTTCAGAAACAAACCAAATTTTTCCATAGTTATTAATGATCAAACAGCATCTCTCCCTCCGCCTCTGTTGTCCCAATCGGTTTATCGAGAAGATTGCACCCAGTGTTTCGATTCCATCGTACGTACCGAAGCCGGATCTGCGAGACACCGTATATAATGCTCTTTTGTTTCCCTTCGTCTGACTTAGCTGCGTTAGGATGGACCTAGTGGCCTCGATGTGTGCCTCCAATGCTTTAACGGCGGCTGCACTGGCGACCGCC